ATACAAATTTTCGTCGACGATTTCGGGAACACGTAATAAAGCGGTTTGAATAATTCAAAAAACATTCAATTCGTATTGATAGGAAACATGTTGATTTAGTTTTTGACGAAGGCAGGTTTTAGCCGTTCCGAAGATATAGAGCAAAAATGCCATAAACGGTAACTCAGTTTTTAAGAGAACGGAGCGTCCGATTTGAATAATTCAAAAACATTTTACTTGTATTAACAAGATGAATAACTGATCAAACTTTCATAAAGGCAGGTCTAGCGGTTTCGGAGATCTGGTAAAAAAAAATTAAAAATGCTATTTGGCGGTCAAAAATGATCATTAGACATATGCACGTTAAATATCAGATATTTTATAGAGATTTTAACAATAGTATAAATTATGTTTACATTCCTATGGGTTCCGTGCCAATGTTTATCCGTTAGATGGCGACGCAGCGATTACGCGCTTCGATATTTCGTCTCTATGCAGTTAAAGCAGTACGATTGCTTTGAAAAAAAAGTTTAGAATTTTCAAAATATTTCAAAATAAATTTTTCTTCAAAATCTTTTTTTCAAAAAAAAGTAAGTTTTTGTCAAAAATTTATAGTTTCTCAAAAATCTAATTTTTTCAGAGTATTTTTTTTTCAAAAATGTTAACCTTTTTAAAAAAAATCATTTTTGGTACGAGGAGTTCCAGCAATTTGCCTTAAGGCACTATAAACACGGGTATTCTAATATTGTCTAGGGGCACTATGCCATGCGCCCCACTAGTTTTGAAATATTTTGGTACTGCTTTAACTGCATAGAGACGAAATATCGAAGTGCGTAAGCGCCGCGACGCCGTCTAACGGATGAATATTGGTAGGGAACCCATAGGAATGTAAACAAAATTAATACTTATTGTTAAAATCTCTATAAAATATCTGATAATTTGATGTGCATATGTCTAAAGATCATTTTTGACCGCCAAATGATTCGATTCTGATTGGATTCTGACTAAAGTTCTAATATACTTTAAACAAATAATTTCAACTTTGCAGTTTATATAATTCTTATAAATATTAGACAATGTAACAGTAGGTATGTATAATAATCTATTTAAAAACATTTCATATTCTTCGAACATTTCGTTACGGTACGGAAAGTTCCAGCAATTTGCCTTAAGGCTATACACCACTAGTTTTATACTTATATTATATTTATACTTCTTATATTTGTATAAGTATTGTAATGGGAGCTTTAAAAAATTAATTGTGAAATTTATGATTTTATTTAAAGCTCATAAAGATCGACTTATCCATAATATCTTTAAAAACACTTGAAAGTAGTATCTTCGATTACACCACTAGTTATTTTATATCTATTGGTATTTACGTTTTAACTTCTTTACAATTAGCACCAATATTCAAATTTTGATAATTACCTATAATACCTATAGTCTATTACTTTTTGATACCATTATGAAAAGAAAAAAATGTTATCACACGCATCATTTTTTTTACAAAATAACAGTTGCAGATAGTTATTTTTTATGGAGATACATAGTTCACATCTGTTAAATTAGTAAATTAATTAAAACAAACAATTTATATTTTTTACAATAAGTTAATTAATACAATTCAATGACAAGGAAAAAGATCAAATCAATTAAAAAATTATAATATACAACATCAATCGAAGTTTCTTATTAAAAACGACAAAAATTATAATTGTGTGGTTACCTAATCGCGACTTGTCAATAATAAAACTAAAACCGTGTTTGAATTTTTATCATTCGAGAAGTTAGTAAAAGAACATACATGTCAATTTTATATTATTCATTTATTTCGTTGGTTGCACTGCTTAGATTTTCTGGTGCGCCGAGAGATGTACAACGTAATCGCCATTTTGCGTACAGTTGTTTCGAAGTGTGTTTCAAAGTTATTAACAAACGTTAAAAATGAGTACTAAAACGTTATTAAAAGGATCCCAAACGGAAGTCGATTGTCTAGTAAAGTTTTTATTTTATTGTGCATTCATAAAGCTATTTCTACAAATGTTTCAAATACTTTTCGTTTTTTTCACAGAATACCACAAATATACTCGTGAAGCCTGAACTAGCTTTCAAATCGGAAACTAATTCTATGACCTTAACTAGACAGTTATTTGCAGTTTCAATT